AGAAGTTTAAATTGACAGATAATAGGGAAGACTTACAGAACTGTAAGGAAATCTAGGGATTTGGTTAAAATACTATAGGAAACCAAAATGGACTGGCTGATAATGTTAAAATTAACAGTAATGATTTTTCTAAAAATGTAACTGTAAGAAAACATGTTAAAATGGAGATTGGACTTTTAAAGGGTGACGGTGGCAAGATTTGGGTTGAAGACTATGATATGGCTGAGCTTTTAAATATTTTCTTTGGAGAAGTCAGAAGATTGTAAGGTTTTCTAATGTTACTCTGTATTTTTAAAGGGGGGGGGGGGGAAGAGTTTACCTGTAAATTATAGGCCAATTAGTCCTATTTCTCTAGTGTGAAAAATTCTATGAATGTAGTGAAATATGATGTAAAATAAAATTAACATGGATTCACCAAAGGCAAGTCATGCCTTAACAATGTGTTGACTTTTTGTAAAGATGAAACTTTTTTTTTTATTATTTAGCTGATGGAAAGGGTGTACATACATTTTCAAATGGTTTTTGATAAGGTGCCACACAGAAGATTAGCCAAGAAAATCACAGTGATGGTTGTTGGGGAAAGACTAATTCATTGGATTGTACAATGTAGAGTGGCTGGGTGAGAGAAAACAAAAATGTTGATCAATGGAGTCTAGTCAAACTGGACCTTTGTTACTTGTGGTGTGTCTCAGGGGTCAGTGCTTGGGCTTTTCTTTATTCTTATTTACATTAATGATATTAATAGAGGCAAAATTAGTGAATAAGTAAAATGTGCCAGTGATATTAACCTCATGGATATTTTAGCTGTATTGAGAAAGTTGAGGTACTATATAGTGATTTGAATCAATTGGTAAGTTGGACAGATACTTGAAAAATACCCTTTAATTATAGTAAGTGCAAGGTAATGCACTTTGTTTATCATAATATGATCACACTTAATATAGATGGAAATCCACTCAATAGCTTGAATAAAGAAAAATATTTTGCCATAGTGGTAGATACTCAAGTTAAAAAAGCAGTTCTGTGTTGCTAGTAGTAAAGTCAATAGAAGTTTAAGATGTGCTTATAGACATATTGATTAAAAGTGAAAAGAGATAATTAACTTTATACATATCACTGGTCAGGCCTCACTTGGACTATTGTTTACAGTCTAAGTGGAACAAATTCTGAGGAGACCTACAGAGATGATCTTGGGGATGGAAAGGGATAGGTTAAGATTTAATATTCTATACTGCTCTTGAGAGAAAAAGGTAGAGGTGATATTATTTAAG